CAAGTACCAGAATGAAAAAACCCAAACAAACCGCCACAGAAAACCACTGGCAACTGGCAGTTTACGTGCACAATACAAATTGTGCAGTTCATTTCTTGTATGAACTCATATCAGTATATTGTACTTGCAGATTTCAAAGGATGAAAAACAATGATAACTTTAATTTAATTAATATGTTAAAGGGGAATAATATTTCCATATCATCTTTTAAAGATGATTTCAAAAAAACCCCAACAATTTCAAAATTTTAAATGAGGGTAATTAATTTTGAATTTCTGGTCTAGAATGAAAATGGGACAATTTTTGCATCCATTACACTAACAGCAAAGCAGAACGTAGACTGGTGGGCATTTGGAACAAGTACACAGGGACACATTCTAATGCAATGGGAGGGCACATCTTTCTAGGACTTGTTCACAATGTGTGAGGAAAAGATGTATTGCCATCAGTAAATCCAAAATAAGGACTTCTTCTGAACAACATTTGGAAAAATAACCCCTTAAATTTTCTAAAAATATAATCTTAGGAAAATCTCAAGGATATTGTCACTATATGGAAATGTCTGCATCAAGCATGAAATAAATTGGTGTTGGACTTTGTGATGCATCAAGCAGTGTCAGCTGCTGATTGCCAAAAAGTCAGAGATACTGCAGTACCTCTACTTTGTGGAAACAAACTTTTTGTGCCAGGCAGAATTATGTGAAACATAAAACCAATCAGTTCATCAGAACAACTTGTTTCTCTGACTGAGTGCTAAAAGGGAGAGTTTTAATAGAAAGTGGGACTTCTCAAGGAAATCCTGCTGGGTATTCGGAAGGCTGTGCTTTAATGAGCAGACAAGTAAGTTACCTTGGAGAGGAAAGCTAGCTTTGTAAAGAAGGCACAAAGGTGATAATTAAACAAGAAATCAATGTTAAGTATGGAAAAGAGGGGCATAACTGGGAATGAAAATTGAATCTATGCAATGTAAATTACTTTTAAAGAAAATAAACGTAATAAGGAATTATTACTGGTCAGTAGAGCTTATGACAATAAGAAGGTATTACAAATGTATTAGGAACAAAAGAATAACTAAATCAGGTATAGATTTCAGTCTTGCAGGAAAAAACCCAGAACAGATCCAATGGTTGGAAATCAAAGCTCAAAAAATTCAATCACTATAAAGATGCAGTAAGGGTGATTACACGTAGAAATAATTTCCCAGTGTAGGTAGGTGGTAAATTTGCCATTGCTAGGAATTTAATCCAATTGGATACACTTTAATCTGACTCTGGGAAAAGGCTTGGAAGCATCTCTGTGGATGGCAGCAGAGGTAATTTGTTCTGTGCAATCTTTACATCTGTGAATTTGTATTTGTGCTTTGTCACTCCCTTCTTTTATAAACTGTTGAATGGAACAGAGAGCTCTCATCGCCCTCAACATGTTCCACATGCTCAGCTTTGCTTTAAGACAGCGACTAAAAAAAACCCAATCTTATGCTTCAGGGCTACAGCTTGCTGCCTGCAGAAGGAGAGAAGCTTATTCCCTAGGTTATTTCTGGGGTTTTTAATTTCATTTTTCTCTGAAGCGTTAGGGGCAGGCATGGCTAGTTATAAAATCTTGGAGAGATTGGGCCACTTCTCTGCTGGGAAGTCCTCTCTTTTATGTAGCTGCTATCTTCCATCTGACTGGGGGATCAGATAATTTCCTCCCTAAGTTAGGGTAGCAAGGACTTTGAGCTCTTTTTTCTTTCCTGTTCATTACAGCATCTAGGCATATCTGAGATCATAATTATGATCATTTGGGCATATCTGATATCATCAACTCACTGGAGCTTGGGGCAGAGGCATCAGAGATTTTTGGAATTCTTAGTAGCTTAATTTCTTCAACATTATTTTATTTTTTTTTTTAATAACCCAACTCAAGGGGAAAAGCAATGGTAAATGGCTGAACCATTATGCACCATACAAAACAGCAGGTTGTCTGTTCTGGTTTAAATTCTGAATTGTAGCTTAATTTTGCTGCATTAAGTGTTATAGGTGACAAATACTGTTTCTTTTTTTTAAAATGGGCTGATGCCAGTGGGGATGCTTGATGGAGTTGCAGAGCTGCCATGCAGGCTTCTCAAATGCTGCTTTGCTGGCTGCATGCAGCAGCTAACAAAGGGTTTGTTGTGCTTGCAGCAGCGTTGCCTCCGAGCCTGACTTTCCTTCTTCAGCAATCCCCACCTTTTGTTTAAAAAAACTGCCCCTCCAAAGAAAAATAAGAAACCTTACTAACATTGCAGTATCAGAGAGGGAGGATACAATTGGTTTTCTTATTGTTTTGAATTGCAAATGGCATTGAGTGGAAAGAGGGATGTCAGGAGGTAATGGAAACCAGGCTCCATATTGTCGTCTCCTAAGAGGCGAACAGGTCTGCCGGGTTCTGCCCTGTGGCTGTGCTGGCAGGTGTCTGGTCTTACAGTACTATCTGTTGCACATGTGTGAAAGTACTCATGTGCTTCACAAAGGTCCTCCTTTCTCTACAGGAAGCTGTCAGCAAACACCTATTGTCATCCTGCAAAGTTGTGAAAAGAGACCTGCTGTTTCATCAACATCAAAATGTTTTCTTCTTAAGCATGTGAAGGAAAGGCAGCCTCCTTCTGATGTGAGCCCTTATGTATTCTTTTTGTAGGTCCAACAAAGGGACACATTTTCAATTGCTACTTGTCTGCAAGTGGAACTGGCACTTGCTTATGTAAATAAACATATTGGCATATTGCATATTTACCTATGATAAACCATCTATTCTATGATTTATCATAAGTCATCAGTTTGCATCACATATTACATTGGATTATGATACATATATGTTTAATCATGGACTTATCCTGTACCCATCATTTCACAGGTGATTAAATACTTATCTATAACTCTTTGTGCCTGTATAGGGGTTTGTACATAAGAGCTGCAAGCAAAGATAAGTCCAGCTGGAGAACTGGACATAGATTGAGACAGATGAAGGGGAAAACCCAGGAGATACAGATCATTCCTTGAATGGCAGAACTAATGAGAACTGTTTTGCTCTGGTTTTGTCTCTTTTGGGGAGTGATACATTCATGTTCGCCCCACTGAAGTGCCCTCTTCTGTGGTACCCTCCAATCTCTCTGTGTCTTCATAGTGAGATGCCTCACTTTCCCTTAGCTCCTCTTTATTCCATGGCCTTTAGCCTACTGTTGCTTGGCCTAACAACTGGGAATGACCCAGCAGATGCTGTTCTGGAGATGCATGCATGCAAGGTGGCCAACCCGTATGTGTCTGGCATGGTCAGCAGCTGCTACCAGCTGAACCTAATCGACTGCCCTTCTCCTCTACTGGCAACAAAATTAATGACTTTGGGAGCTGCCTTCTATGATGTGCTGAATGTTGCACAGGTCTGTTGTAAGATTTTCCTGCTTTAAAAATGACTATGCTGTTCAGTTCAGTTGAAACTGAACAAACATGACAGGGAGACAGTGTGATGCACGCAAGCTTCATTTTCTCACGAAGCCAAGCTAAAAAAAAAAAATCTGCCTAGGAAAAGTTTCAGCCAACATTTGAGAAGCTTTCCATTAATTATCAAAATGAAGAAGCAGAGTATGCTAATAGAGTGTTGATTCAAACCATCAGAATCAATTTCTCAAAAAATAGATGTGCTGAAAAAAAATGCATAAAACACATTTGTGCACTGAATGGTGTTCCTGTTGAGTTTCTGCATCTGGCCTTGTTGTAACAGCCTCCAACCCTAAAAATCACCCTCCTATACCCAAACTCCACAGGATACACAGAACTCAGAAGGAGAATTTTCTTTCTTAGGTGTCAGAGAACCTCTGTCTTTTAAGATTGTTTATTCAGAGTGAGTAAATTGAACTAGGTCAACCTGAATTATGGCGATGGTGTTCGGAGTGCCTATGTTCCTGGTGCATCTCTGGAGGACTGCTACTCTGCAAGGTCTCTCCCTCTTGGCTGTTCCTTCTTCCTCTTGGCTGTTGTTGCTCACAGAGCTTCTGTCCTGTGACAAAAATATCTACACATGCTTTGCAGAGCAGTTTTGGATTCATTGATGCAAAAGGATGAAGAAGTTAAATATGCATTTCTTGTATCACTGTTTCTATTGCTGTAAGGTCAGTATTTTAAAGGCTCTAAAGTTTCTGGAAATGGATTTTTGATTTATTTTGAGAACAGCCTTCTGGTGCTTATTCATTTACCTTCTACATTCTGAAGGCCAGTCGGGAACTACAGCTTTTACAAATCATCCCTTGTATTTTGGGTTAATCCAGGCCTTCCTGCACTTTACTTGGTTGTCGTAAATGCAGTTTATAATTCATACAGAATGGTTCATCTGCCCTGTGACTAGGAAACGTTAAAAGAAAGCATTCAGTCATAGTTTATGCATCTGGTGATGTGGACGGGGGTTTTTAAAAGAACCCAGAAGAATTAGGCATTCAAATTTCATTAAAATGCTGTGGAAGTGAAGCATATAAACTCTATTAAAAAGCTCAGTCATTATCTATAGCTCTTGTTTTTTTTCTCCAATTTAATTTGTGCATAAGCCTGCTTAGGGGAGAGAAGTAGACAGGGCTGGTTTTGCTCACCTTGCCTTCTTGTTAGTGCTGAGGCACAGCCTTACCTTAGAGCTTGAGCATGCTGCAGTTCACTCAGCTCTTCCATTTTTAACTGCAGTTTCATATACCCACCCAGCTACTGATTTTATGATTAAACCTCATTTTCCTAACTGTAAAAATGAATCTAAGTATCTGATCAATAAAACTGTTCATATAAATAGTTTGGTGAATATGATGTTGAAAATATATATATATATGTATATGACATCCTTAAAAGGATTTGTACTTTTTCACACTCTGAACATTCCAGAGAGACAAAACTGAATAAAAGCCAGTGAAGAAAATAAAATTATACTGCAGAATGTAAAAGAATTGGATATGTTGCTTTTAAATATGATGCAATGTGACTAAAGATTACATATAATATTCTTTCAGGTGTCTAAGAGAACACAGAAGTTTCCTCTATATGCAAGAATCAGTAAAGTACAATATGACAAATATAATGAAGAACAAGATGAGAGATCAATTGGATACACAATCAGATGAAGTAGAGTAAGTAAGGAGCAGAGTTTGTTCTTCAGTCAGAAGGGATTGCTGCAGTAGTACAGAATAGGCTTGCTGGAGGAAGGAGTTAATAATTGTGTCAGCAGTGCTCAGCCCCTATTTATTGCAGAAGAGAATTAATGTCTTTTCTGCCTGGTGCTGAAAATAGAAGCCAAATTTAAGTTGTTTCTTGAAGGCAGAATATAATTAGATCATGAAGCTTTTGGGTCTAAATAATAGGACAAGAATGGCCACACTAAATCAGAACAGGGTATGGTGTCTTAACTAGGTGTGAGAATAGGACAAACACAGAGATACCTTCCCCAGTTTCCAGCTGTGCACAATGTACACATTACTTAAACTGTAGATTTAAGTGCATTGTATATTTATTAGCCCTTGCTGAATCCTTTCTCTATAGATTGTTCTAATTATTTATTATACCCATTTGTATTTTTGTTAGTATTTGTTAGTATTGTTGTAAGAATAAACTATACAGTGTAGCTATGAATTGTGTGGAAAATCATTTCTGTTTGATTAAAACTGTGATACTTGATGCTTTTTAAGTCTTATGGTAAGAGGAATAGTGAACCATTGTTCCTTACTGATCATCTATGTTAGTTTCAATTCTATATACAATTGTTTCCTCTTTGTTATCTCTTTTCCAAGTTGAAAAGTACTTTCATCCATCCTCATACAGTTACAATAGTATACTGCTACTCATCTGTGTTGTCTAGCGTACACCATTCCTACTTCTGATAAACCTTTGGACATGGATCATTCAGACTTAGGTGAAGTATTTGGGATGTGGATGAAGTCTGGGTTTATACAGTGGTGTAATATTTTGTCTTTTGACTTTTCGTCCTTACATAGTGATTTGTAACATTCAGTTTGCATCTTCTGTCTGCCAGTGAGCACTGGACAAATGTTTTCAGACAGTTCTTGACAAGGAGTCCAAGATTCTTGTTGAAGTGATACTAAATTCTTTATTTATTTATTTATTTATTTATTATTTACCCCTCTGTGTGTGAAGTTGGGCTTTTCCCCCCATGTGTATTGCTTTGCATCTATTGATATTAAATAACATCTACATTTTTTGTTGCTGAATCATTCAGTGTTCAGTATAATGACACCTTTTGAGGTATTGACTGTCTGAGTAATTTGTATCATCAGCAAACTTTACCATCTCATTATTAATTCATTTTCCAGATCATTTATGAATATACTGAAGAGGACAAGTTTTAGTGCAGATATCTGATTGCTTCTCTTCTGTGGTGAAAACAATTTATTACTATGCTCCAACACATCATTAATCTACTAAAGAATTTTTATCCTTCTGATAACTTAGAGTCTTTAAGAACCTTTAGAGAAAGATCTTGTCAAAACACTTTGACTTCTGAAAATCCAAGAATACTATAACAATTGGCATTCCAAAGCTGGCTGACATCTTTAAAGAACTATTAATATCATCATTTTCATCAACTAACAGTAAATTAAATCCCAAAAATTTAGTAAGGTTTCTCTATTTGCAAATATTACATTATTTATGTACTAATAATATCTCAAGTACTTTTACTATTAGTACTAAGGTTTCTAGCAGTTAGTGACAATTTCTGCAGAAAAGTTATTACTATACTGCCAGAAATTCCAGAGAAAGGTGCAGCTTTTCACTGACCCCAAATGGAGCATGGTTCCTTTGCGATAGAAGTCTTCTATTTATTTTCCCTAAATGACACATCCCTGAAGCAATAGTGAGGGAATGAAAGTTACATTTTATCACAGTAGTGTTTTCAGAATGGTGAACTGTGGAAGTACCTATTCATAATGAAACTTGGGCCAGCCATGAGTTCCTAAAAAGCTTACCTGCAGGTGCTTAATTTTTTTAATTAAAAAATTGATATCTGAGCTTTATGAACTTCTGATTAAACTTTTAAAATAAATTAAAGGTGAGAGGATTAGACAGGGAATTGGAAATGAACCGTGGTATCTTTTGCCTCTAGCTCAGCATTTTGAAGGCAATCCAAATGAGATGTGACAAAGTGCAGCGCGCTCTTTTCTTTTTGCTGACCTACGTGTAAGTGGAGTTCAGTCTCTGCCAAGTTCTTTGTGTGTGAATAGCCACATCACTAGCCCTGCTACTGTAATTAACACTAATTAGTCCTTTACTGGAATTTAAAATAAATAGGCCGTGATTTAGATATCACAGAGACTAAATTATTCCTTTAGATGATCCACCCAGTCTAGAAGAATGGCCTGCTCCCCCCAGCCGTCCCTTTTTGTGCCATTAGCAGAAGTTACAAAGATTAAGTTGTAGGTGGCTGATATGTCCAGGTCTCATGTTGCATCCTATTTGAAATTTAAAGTATAAAATCCTGTTGAAGACAGTTCCTGAGTGTCAATTGAATGAAACTGTGTCTTAGTCTGTTATGTGTCTTAGTTACTCTTGGGCAATTCCTTCCTGCCCTCTTTGGAGGTGTGAAGAACTTCAGTGGAAATCCTCATGATGTTCAAAGAGGTGCTTCTACTTCTTCAACCTCCAATGTAAACTTCACACCTCTCCTCAAGAGAATATAGTTAATTTAGGTTGACCTTTGCTTATCATGACTCTTATGGTGTTTCTGCTACCTGTTCACTGTTTTGCTGCCGGAAATTCTTCAGACCCTTAGGTAATACCAGGTAATTTCTGCTAGTCTTCCCTCACTTATATAAGACATCATGGACTAATAGATATCCTGGGAGGGGAATGAAAAGTGCACTTTATTTAGAGAAAAATTGGATGCAGCTTAGCACTGACATGTGTCAAGTTGATGGCTGGTGGTGACCATCCTAACCCTTTCTCTTTGCTTGGTTCTGAAATCTCAGCTAGTTCCTCTCTTTTCCCCAAAGCACCTACTGGATTTTCTGTTGTTGCCTCCATCTGAATTTTGTCTCTGCTCCTTGTAGAGAAGAGGAAGGCTTAACAACAGCTGAAAAAGACCCAGTCCTTCAACCTCACTGCTTGCAAATGGTTGCTAGTTGAACAGAGGGCAGTCCTGATCCTGCTGCAGTTCAGAGCACCAAATGATGTACAGTGCACATGATGCTTCTAGTCAAAGTGTGATGGTACAGAAATCTGTCATTGCTCTTCTGGGGCAGTGGTCATTATCCAAATGGCCTCTACACTGTGGTAATGGGAAGAACATTGATGGCCTCAGTGTCTGATGCACTGGATTATTTCAAAAGTGATTAGCAGTGGCACTAGAGCCAATGACAGGTGATAACTACTGCACTGCTTTAAAAATCCTCCTTGTTATGTCAGCAACATGCAGGTCTTCAAATAGATACATGCTTTCAAACAACACAAAGACTAGGTGTTATTCTGGAAGAAAAGAGCACCAACGTGCATGTGCTTTTCCCATGTTTTCAGCAAATATTTGACTGTTTTAGGTCTTTATTCAAAATAACTATTTGGACTTAATTTGAGAACAGCAAAAAACATGACGACTCTTTCAGTGCAGGCAAAAAGTAAGCTGTCAATATGTAATTCTTGAAACAACTAGAATTTAAGCAATCAAGTACAAGGCAATTCTTGTTTCCCACACTAGGTCAGCACTTTCTTGTAGTGTTAGTTCATGTCATCATGGTGTGCTCCGTGGAGGTGACTCATCTGTGCATTTTGGAGTTCAGACAAAGCCTGTTAGCTGACTTTTCTCTGTTACCTTCCACATGTTTTTCCTGCATTTGTAACAGCATGATTCTGCCTGCTGTCTGCAAGTGAAACAGCTTCTCACCTACCCCTTCCTTACACATAAAGAGGCTTCTAAGTGTGCTGGGCTTTGGCTGAGAAAGCTACATTACATGCTACCTGAAAATTATCACTGATTGATCTAAAATGACCTTCCTAAATTAACAGATAGTTTTTTTTTTTTTATCCTGGTCCAACTATGTGACAAATGCTATATCTCGTAAAGTTGGATATAATTACACAGGGCTGAAGATCCCTAATAATGAAGTAGTTCTTCATCTGTATAGAAGTAACTATGCCAGAATGGCTGTGCTCATATCAGCATTGCTGCGAAACACAATACCAGATGTACCATTCTAACTATCTTTGTATTGTTAAATGGGCAGTTTAACATTTATGTGTATATAAAGCCTTAGAGCAGAGAAATGCTCAGTCTGTTCTCCATTTTGGAAAAGTATCTATTACCTTAGGAAGCAGTCACCTTAATAACGTGAAACTTTGCTTCAACTCTATCAGTTCAATTCTTCCTATGTAGTCAGACATGAAATTGAGTTACAGTGGCTTAATGGGCTACCACATGTCAGTGGAGACAAATTTGTATGCAAGCCAGTAGCCCATCACCAACACAAGACAGAAATCATTAGATCAAACAACTCCATTTTTCAGAGGTTTTAAAGATTTTATTTTTTTCTCATGTGTGTTTGTAGTCGAAGAACACACACACAATCTATTACTATGCTCAGCTGAACACCAAGGTGATATTAAGCAGCAGTAAGTTGATCTTGTAACTGATCAACAAATTAGAATTTTGAAATAATTTAACTAGATTAGCTTTAATTTGGTGACTGGGGACTGGAAATGTATATAAGAAATGAGTCTGTCCTATATACTGTTAAGTAAGACCTTTAGTGACTGCATTTGGTGCACTTGTATGCTGGTGACTGGATATTTTCAGAGGTAACTTAGAATCCATGATTTCCATTTGAAATGTTTCCAGGTGTGCTTAGACAGCCTTTTCCCATTTATCCCTAGAATTTCATGTTTATGCTTGTTTCAAGAAAATTGTGTGATTTTTTGGACTTCAGACAATTTTACCTTCATAATGAATATTCTTTCTTATTTTTTCAACCTGTCCCAGATTTACTGACTTGTAAAGAAGCTTCTTTGGAGGGCCAAACCACAACACTATGGAACAAAACAACTATGCTTGGGTTTAATTCGGAACAAAACCTTACTCTTTGTTTTGTAAGTTTTATTAAAAGAGATAAAAGAATTGCTATACTTAAATTAATGGTTCAATGGATATCTCATCTCTTGATTAAGTTTATGGTAAGAACATTACCATCAATTGTAATGCCTGAAAAGGTTGTGGGAACTTCAGGAAACCAAGATCTGACTACACATCATCAGGTAATGCCTCTAGGGTAGCATATGGAACAAAAAGAGGGTTCTGCTCTTTCAAAATAAAAAAAGATTGTGTTCACATTAAGGTTTGTGTTAACTTCATTTTAGGTGATACTGAGGACCATAATTATTTGCAAGAGAAATCTGAATGTAAATATTGTCAGCATTTTTTCACACTTTTTCATTGTGAAACAGAAACCACTGAATATAATGAAAAGGAAGTTAAGAAACTCCCTCTCAGGATACCATGAGTTTCTTACATGTTGCCACACCCTGTCAGTAATAAACAGATCTCTTAACTGCTGCTAATCTGGATTGCTTGAAATACTGTACTGCAAGCACATGGCCAAATTCTGTTTAGCAGCAATGTTCACGGTTGCTGCTTGGATCGAAAACTCCTGAGATCAGAATTTTATCATCACTTCTTTAGCTTACTAACAGATTCTCCTTGTCAGTTTTGAGTTTGGTTTTGTTTTTTTTTTTTAATTATTATTATTGCTGTAAGAAAAAGAGAGAGAAAAGAGAAATAAGTAACAGCTCTAAACACTGAGGTATTATCTATAAAACTCATTTATGATGGCTCATGAAATTTCCCTGTACTTCAGTCCTGGGGGGAAGCAGCATACAGGGGGTAAGGATACTTCCATAATTATGCCCATCACTTTTTGGTCTCTTTTTTGAGCCATGAGCAAAAGCCCAAATGTTCTTTTCAAGTAAGACGGATCTTAAGACTAATTTCTCATTGACCTATAAATAACTTGTCCGAAGTAACTTACTTCTGGTTTATCTGAAATGGATCAGGTCTGGCAAGGTGGAGATAGGATGCTTTGATGGAAATCTGGCTCCCATGAAGTCAGTTTGCCAGTACATTGTCAAAAAGTTTTATCGAGCAGCTGTGCAGCATTTATTACCATACTTCATTCCTTACTGTAAATTTTATTCCATGGCAATTTCATTGCTTTTTGTAACTGTACTGTGAATGAAGTGAGCCATAGAATTATTTTTTTCTATTTTGATTTTTTTGGGGGGTGCATATTCCTGTTTATAAATAAGGATGGGCCCAACTGCCCACCTTTTGATAAAAAAAGAATAAAATAGTTAAATTCTGTGATCAAACCTGTTGGAGTCAATCCAAGAGAACATGTTATTTTTAGTCCTACTTACTTTTTGGATGAAAGCTGCTTCAAGGGACAAAGATCAACATATAACTAAAATTAAGCCCTTTGCAATGTCTACTCTGCTGTGTAATTCATAAATTAATGGATCATGAAAAGACCTTAAAAGAATGTTATCCATCAGAAATAATACCTTTGTATATTTATCACTGCCCTTGTGTTGAATTTGCCTATCTAGGAGCCTGCAATGCTTTTGAAAGGATAAAAGAACCATAAAATAAGTTTATGTTGCTCAGTGCCCAAATGTTATAAATGACTAACACAATATGAGCAAAACAGTAAATCTAATCTTTTGCAACATGTATATTTAACAGTCATAAAATCTACTTTTGGGTACATTGATATTAGACTTTTGTTTTACATGCTGCATGCCATATATCTGAATTACTTAGACCTCTGAGTAAAGCTAATTTTTCTTCCTAGAACCAAACGTATAATTTCCAAGGTGACAAGAAATCTCCCACAGAAATTGTAGAATAATAGGATCTGGTAAATGCTTGCTATTCAAAATAGGTTTACTACCACAGTATCTGAAAACCTTATCGTGAAGGTAATAAGCAAAGCATGACTTCTCATCTGTCTTTTATTTTTTTAATTATCCACTCAGTAGAGAAATAAATGTACATATTAGAATAATGTGGGATTGTTTTGCTGATTTGTTTCCAATGATGACATCTAGTGTGATATGCAAATGTGTATGTAAATGAAGAAATATGCTTTGCATTGGAGATAAAAGGTGGTCAAGCACTTTCCTAATTTTTATTAGATCATCAGGACTGGTCCTCAGGAAAGCCCCAAAACTCTTCTCCCCCCAGTGAGTTTTAATTTTACTGTGTAGCCTTCATTATGTGACTGTTGACCATAGTGCTTTCTCTGGAAATTTATAAGCCTTGGTCCCTGGCCACGAAATGTCTTACAGGGTGAGACTTGAAGCATTCATCATTCTGTAGGGAGCTGGGCTAGAAATCCAGAAAACAGAAGGTTTGCTTATGATAGCTGCTCATGCAGAGGAAGTGCTCTGCTGTGCCCTTGTTGCACTGGACCTGCCAAGGGAAGCAAGGTCTCTTGCTCAGAGTACGTCCTGTAGCTGGGGTCAAGGATAGTGCTGACATGAACAACCACAGTCAGTCATTGATTGTTGGCCTGGCAGGGAGTCTTGTGTGCCACCTGAGTCAGGAGAGAGCCTTGCCCATGGATGTTGCTGTGCAAGAGCTTCCTAGCTCTGAGGAATGCAAGAGTGCTCCTGGAGTACAGACTGAGCTGACAAATCGCTCCACCGTAGACTTTTTGTTTGCTTATGCTTCATCTCATCTAGAAATTGCAATGACTGGAAAAAAGAGAGAGTGCATTTTGTTTTCATAAGACCAAAGTCACAAACTCTAAACAAAGACTTCAAACATACACACTTGTGACATTAGGTGCTGCTTCTATGTGGCCTTTATTTTCCTGCCGAATTATTTTAGGAGTTAGTTTTGGGCAATTTTTTTCCTCTTGATTGATACAGATAGAGTGCTATGAGATTGCAACTTGGCTGTTCTCTAATCAAACTGCAAATGGGGTCAAAATCAGGGAAGGAAACAGACATCCCCGTGATTTCATAGTGCAGATGCAGCCCTCCTTCCCCCTGCTCCCTGGTTACAACTGATGTGGCTGAACAATGAGGGCAAGCTCAGGGCATCATGGTGCTTGTGGCAGGATTGCTTTTGACCTCACTGCTCCTCAAGATCCTACCTCCTACCCCACTGCTGTTTAGTAGAAACTGGTTCTATGTTTTGGCATTGACTGTCAGCTGCTTTGACCTCTATCACCCTAGCTTGCTAGCAGCTGGCTGCAGAAGCTGTTTTTCCCACTCTATATGAAGTATGTTCAACCACAGGTCTTTGATATGTGGAGGCACCACAGTTTTGAAGCTTTAATTTCGTTCACCAAGGCTGAAACAATTTGAGTTAGTTGATTGCCAGGACAAAGTTAGATCATTGTCTGTTATCATGCATCCTAGGAGATGAGCTCCATTTGTGTACTCCACTTGAAAACGGGGCAGGTTTATTTCATTAGTTTAAACTTTGCCATGTAATATGGAAACAATGAATTGTGGGCAACTTGTTCTAAGAACTGTATCTTTATGGCACAGGTGCCAAGAGCACCAGATTGTTGCACTTGGGTTGTGTAAAAATCCAAATAGGTAAAACCTAAGCACTCCATTAATGAAGTGTAGACTTGAAGATCTTATGCGTTTGTATTAGTTAGGTGTAGCTTGCACCAAGGTAAGTTTTAAAACAGATGATCATGTCTGGCTGCATATTCTACACGATTTCTAGCTTGCAATTATTGCCTAACACATTTAATACTTCTGTGCCTTTCAACTCTGTAACACTGTCTCGTGGTAAGTAAAAGATTAATTCTCTTACTTCGTCCCAAAAGGCAAAGGTAGTTTTTGTCATTCCTTAATTGTACACTTGCATATATTATAGAAAAAAGTACTTTATTTTTCTGCCTGTTCTATGTAGTGTCATGCAGAACTTAAGACACATTCCCAAATCTGGAATTTCTGACAAAATACTTTACAAGTTGTTTCCTATCCTGTGTAAAACCTTCCCACAGCCACATGTGGAATTCACTTGTGGAAAACTCCAACAGCTGTATGGCAGGTAATTTCAAGCTGACAATACAGTAAACTTTCACTTCACAGAAACAAAAGGTTCACCTCCACAGGTAAGGTCAGGATCTTCTGAAAGAAGGGAAGAGTGTTGTAACTTGCTTTTTGAACACTCTAGCATTGGTGTCACTTAGATCTCAGAGCTGTATGACTCTGTGAAGATTCTCTCTAAAATCTGAAGATAAACATATCTTTATTTTGTAGGAGCTGATTATTCACTTTAAACGGAGCCTTTTCTTTCTGCCACTTGGCATGTGCCACTGTGAAATTCTTAGGATTCTTGAAATGGGAGAGATAGGCAATGGTGGCGACCCTTCCCATCCATCTCACCAGCTAGCAGTGCTGGTGTTCATATTTACTGCCAAATATTGATGATGTTATAGCAGAATCCTTTTTACATCCACAGAACTGCAGGGTGTTATCTCTCTATCTGAGGCATTATCATCCCAGCTTTCTTGCTAGTGTTGCTTTTGCACCTATTTGAAGGCTGGGACTTCAAATAAAGTTAGAACTTTATTTTACTCATTGACCATCTGTACTGTATACACACAGTGATTCAGGCAAAATACAAAATGACTGAAGCTTCTGTCAAAATACAAAGTGGAAATGAATATTTGAGGTTTTACACTTCCAAGCTTCTCCTGTTTCTCAGTTTTGGGTACTTAGTGTAATTGGAAGGGTCAGAAAGTCCAAAATCTAAAATCCATGGGGCCATTTAAATTTCAGTAATCATCTGCCCAACACTAGAAATCTCAAAACAACCTCAACTGATCTCAAAGCATCCTCTCATCCTGAGAGGAAATAGCTGAGAACTTGTTATAAGTTTAAATATACTCTAGTGATGGCTCTATAATTTGGAGGATAGCTGAAGTGACACAGGAGAACAGGAGGCACTGACTGATCAGATCAGTTGTATAAATAATGTACATTATATGTGCCTGACTGGTGATAAAACTTCATGAGCCCACCACAGAGGATGCTGTCAGCTGGGTGAACCAGGAGGCATCTAAGAACAAATGAGGTAGCTGGGGCAAATCAAAGTCAAGAAGTTTCTCACATTTACCCACTTAACCAGTCTAACTAAACTCCTACCAACAAAACAGTTAATGAAAATATTACAACAGCGAGTTTCAGGTTGACTTGCTAAAGAGACTTCTGTCAAACAAGGTATTTGCAGAAGTCATTTAATATATCTCCACACACTGGTATTCGAACAGAAGCGTACAGGACTCATGGGATGGGACAATTATAAGAGATAATTGCAAAGAGCTTCACCAACATAAGATTTTAGCCTGACAATATGGACAGGATTGTTGTCCTTATTCCTTACCCCTATGCAGCAAGCCATGTGTCTCCTCTTTCGGGTGACAGACAGGTGTCCAGCAGGCAGATCTCACTGTGTGAAAGGGATGGGAAGTGTTTGCCTTCACTAATTTGTCTGGTTATCAAGCTCAGATATTACCCAGCACTTTGTCCCAAAGTAAGGAGTGAATGCATGCTTTGCCAGGGTTTACTGGTCTTCATGCCAACCTCTCTCCAGTGATACACGATTAAAAGTGCAAATCACGAAGCTATCAGAGCAGGGACCATAACATGTACTAGAAATGTGACAATTCACACTTCATCATTAAATTGACAGCGAGATTAAAGAAGGGTTGCTTTTATAAAATGAAAATGAAGAGTACAGCATGGTAAGAGGTAATCTGCCTTTTACTAGAAATAAAAGACCTGAAACATGAATTCTTGTGTTTGTATTGAATAAGATCCTATCCAATGCTGATGATGTCATACGTAAATGTTGGAGGCATATAAGATGATTTATATTTATTGTATGCTACATAATGTAATGACCTCTAAGAAATCTTTCCTTTGTCGTGATTTAAAAACAGATCTTATCGTGTCAGGGAAAATATGGAAATAAAGGATTTTGTGAACACTGACTGTGTGCTTATATATTATTTTATAATGCTTACCACCTATGAGGATGTAGAAGATGAACTGTTTATTCTTAAGATGACTTTAAAATATTAATTGTTTTGAATGCTCTTTAATAAAATGGTACTTCCAAAGAACTTAGAAAATTAAGAGTTTCTAAAACAACAAACAATTTTTGGGGGGTTTCTTTTTTAGCTAGTTGTGCATACTTGAGACTAGGACTTGCTCTAAAAATTGTTAAAACTAATATACATATTGCAAGGTAATTACTTTCTAACAGGTAATTACTTTCTTCTATAAATCATAGTATTTACATTTCTGATCTGTATATATTTGCTCGCACCTCTGACTATATTAAAACCAAAAACCACAAAAGACAACAAATAATTCACAAATTATTATGGATAGCTGTAGATATATGCCATAATATAGAAACGTAGAAAATGTTTTTTCCCCTAATGCTTGTATTTTTCATGCTTTCTTTTTGTAACTCAGAGTGCTTCAGATCAGAACCTCAGTATCTGATTGTGGAACAGCTCCATGAACAGAGACTGTGAGCAACCCTTCCTAGACTAGTTGAGAGCTTGTGGGGCAGAACACTCATTTGGATAATAAAATAATATCACCATCAGGTCTTAAATAGAAGTCTCCAACATCAGAGTCTTCACCATCACAGTCCTTGCTATTAAATTGTTGTGATCTGTTTGGTGTTTTCCTGAATGCATAAAATCTTTTTGTCCTCAAGAACTAGTATGGTCTTGATGATATGATTAATTTGACAACATTTCCAGATTTCTTAAAAAAAACCCCAAAACAACTGGATTATCTTTAGGCTAGTTCAGTAATATATCACACATTGCCATTGTAAATAAGTTTGATCAACTGTACATATATATGTGTCTCTTGTTCACCATCGTAATTCTGTTATCCAGTTAAAAACTGCTTCACGAAGTGTGAAATAGATTTAAAATGGATGTAAAAATGAAAAAAAGATAAATTCTTTTTGTCTGTTTACTCTTGTTCTGGACAGTGCAATTGTATCACATTTTAAAGCTTTAACTTTTACACCCAGGATAGCTTGAAATGTACTTGATTTTAGTTAATGAAAGGTGGGATTTTCTTCTATTCCCTTATCTCTAGGAATTGTGGCTCTAAGATAGCATGATGACTCATTAGAATATCAAGAGAGATAGTGATATTACTCAAAAGAAAGTGGTACCAAATGAAGCATAGAGGTCTCTTTATGCTACGCTGTCATGATGTCATTGTTGGAAAATTATTCAGTGAATTAGATTCAAATGAATAATTCATAATAAAAGCTGATTTTAATATTTTTGAAAATATTTATTTTATTGCTGAACTTCAAGTTTTGACTGGATTGCAAATTTTGGTATCACCAGTTCAATGTAGATAAATATAGGTGATACCCTAGAAAAAAGCAATCTTAACTCTCCATATCGAGTGATGGGCTCTGAATTGAACGTTACCACTTAGGAATGAGATCTTGGAATTATAATGAATAGTTTTTATGAAACCACCAATTTAATGCTCAGTAGCAATAAAAATGTAAATTGAATGTTAGGAATTATTAGAAAAGAAATAGAGAACAAAAGAGACTGCATAAATCCCTACAGAGTTCGTGTCCCCTCTTCTTAAAAAACTGTAGTGGAGGACTGGAGAAAGTTCAGAGAAAGTAAATAAGAAACGTATGGGAATGCTTCACCAAATTGGGAGTTATACGTTTTTTTCACTTTTGAAGAAAAAGAATGTAGAGACTTCTGTTTCCTTACCTCTTTCCAACAAGATCTAGGTGTTTATGAGCCCAGCATGTAAGCAGTTCAGAACTACTTATGTTTTTCCTTATGTAGTGTGTATTTAGGTGTAGAACTTGTTGTTGTGTGTTATGAATGCTGTGAGATAGCACAAGCTAAACTATGCAAAAAAAAATCCATGGAAGAAGATCAATCCCATTGTGAAAAACTGAATACAAAGACATCAGTGCTGGCACAGGAGATCGCAAACACATCTTCTGAGAAAGCCATCACTGTGTGTTTTCATACCCTTCCCTAGGTGTCTGCTGTTGATTACTGTTGGAGACAGGCTCCTGGGCCAGGTAGGCCTTTGGTCTGAGTATGACCACTCCTATGATGTGTAGCAGCACTGGAAGAATTTATCAGTGAAGGAGCTCGGCTGTTCAGATTGTTTTACTGAGAGCAGGTGACACTTCTTGAGTTAGAAGAGTTTGTGAGTGTAGGATAAAGCTTACGCTACCAGATGTTGATGCTTGATATGAACTAAATCTAAAGAATTGAGGATGAATATGGGATGAAAGGAAGAATCTGTGCTTCTGAGGGATATTGCTGCAGGGTCGCTGAACAGAACTGGGACATGGGCAAGAAAATGATGTGGATAAACTTCTCTGAAAGAGATAACTGCTGGCTTCAAACGCTCTCTTAGCTTGTGGTAAATGGACATGATTTTAACTCCCTGCTTGTAACTTGATAATCACACGTCTTGAAAGAGTGCATAAAAACTGATGTCTACACCACAGTGACTTGCTATGAAATGTAAAAAATGCTACCTTTTACTTGCCATCTGATACAAATTGATGCCTCTTTTGCACACCATCCCCTTTAGATGGGTGAGAAAGGCCAAGAGCATGGAAGATAGCCATACTGGAGAGCCTTGAGGCCAGTTAATGTGCCCGAGCCTGCTATTTATCAGTGTAGGTATAGCCAGAGTGCCTTTTTAGTGTCTCTTTAGTGTTCTTTTAGCCAACTGGCAAGAGTGGGAAAGAGTGTAAGTGTGGACTCGCTTATTTTGCAGAAAAGTAATAACTGTGATTCTGGTTTACATTAGAGCAGCTTGAAAAGCTGCTCTGCCCTGGCAGCCCTCTAGACTTTATGTCGAAACTTAGACCACATATGTCCAAGCTTATATCATGTATAACTAAGTAAGCACTTGCTCACTTGAAATAAATCCCTGGGCTGCTGAGCACAATTATATCAGCATTTGCCTAAGTTTAACATTTACGTTCCTTAAGAAATGCTATCACTTAATTTTTGCTTTTTCTCAAATTGAAACAAAACCTTGAAATTTCAAAATTTACAGAGGAATTACATTTGGGAGTTGCTTTACTTGAAGTCATCAAAAGAACTCTTTATCAAAGGCTTCACTGAAATCAAACCAGTTTGTTTTGCCTTTATGATTCCAATTTTCAAGTGATAACACATTTGAAACACAGTATATAGTGATTTAAGTGATGAGGTCCAAATGAAATTATGTAACCCTTTAGAAGTAAACCCAAATAATTTTCTTTAATTTTTTTGATGAACTCAATACATTTCTACAGATTGTTGAGTCAGCACTTGCTAATGAAAAGCAGTTCTTCTGGAACTGCTTCAAACAGTCCTTGCAAAGATATAAGACTTTTAAAATTCCAGACTGTAGATAAAAGCCCTCCTCTTAAAAAAAAAAAAAACCAAAAACCAAAAAAACCTTGTACTCTAAAAAGCAAAATTACTCAAACTAAACAAATGTTTATGTTTTGTGCCTGCATGTCACACATGAGTGCTTGTGAATATAGTCTAACACATTTGACAGTTCTGCTGGTCTGATTTAGTACTTATTTCTGGGTTTTTTTATCCCTCAAATTTTTGCACAATATCTGCTTTCATCCTTACTTATTAATACTGGCTAGAGTCTGTGTTATATTCCATCCCATACAGCAATGCTCATAGGAGCATTTTGAAGTTAAAATAATTTTCCAGCATCGATTTTATTCTCTGCAATATTATCATAACTCTTTCATCTTTGTTTTTAAATGCTGTTTTGAAAACCACAGATACTCAGGCTTCATACCTTGCTCACCAAAGGAACAAAGGCTGAACGCTGCTTAGCTCCAAGTGTCAATCAGGACATAACAAGTTAAACAGCAGTCAACACATTGGCAGATGAGTAACACCGAGTGGTTACTAAGCAGTGCCAAGTGCTGTTTGTCCCAGTCTACCTCAGCAGCTTAATGTGTTTACTTATTCATCTGCATCTGTTAGGGTGTAGCCAATTTCAGTAGTGGGTAATTTTCACAGTAGAGACAAGGTTTTGGGGCTCGTCTTACAAAACCATCCAGACCTGGAGGATATTACTGTGATTAAACTAATTGATTTGAATAGGTGCTAATCATGCAGGCTCTGGCAATGCACACTGATGAAAAACTTCAGCATGCCCTGCCCCTTTGACAGCAAATGTGTATTGCACTTCACCCAAATTCTCCTATCAAGATGAGATTTTTCCCCAGTCCCAATTTGAATAAGTGTTTGGTTTTCCTATAGCTGTACCCCATTTTGTCAGCCTCAATTTCCTACTAGGGAATAGCCTGTGGATAAGTCAGGTTCTCAGCACTGTAAGGAGATGTTACGATTTAACACCTATTACAGGATCTGATTAAGCAAATGGAAATGACCTCACAAGTTGTCCCACATGTCTGCTTAAACACTTACTCCATGGTAGTATTTAACGTGCCCTGACTGGTAGATCTGGCTGTGGAGGTGGCAGTTTGCTGTTTCCTGGTTGGTCTTTTATTGAGATGGGTTTGAATGCAGAGAGACTCACTCTTCTCTTTATGCCATCAGCAAGGAGTGGGTGAGCAAGGGATGTGAAAGGGAGCACCGTGGAGGGACTGGTAAGGAGCCAGGGATCCCAGCAGCCTGGAAAGGAAGGGGCATGGGGAGTTGGGCAGGACAGAAATCCAGCCTGCTTGCTCCATGCACCATCCTGTGCGCACCTGACCAATGTTCTCACCCTGTTTGGTTGGGTTTTTTTCTACCTTTGAAAGACCCTGTGAACATCCCCAGGACCATCTCATGAGCTTTCCTTTCTTCCTGTCTTCCATGGAAACAAACCATGGTGCTTGTCAAGCTGGATACTGTGTCTTATATGTTGACTTTAACTTTTAAATAAAAGACTTAGCATGAGTTGGGGTTTGCACCTCTGTGTTTGTTGGGGAAGAGGGTCCCCAGAGATTCTCTATCTTGAGAAAATGCTCAAAAGCAAAATGTAGCATTGCTGCTCCCTCTCATTTGGAATAGCCTTTATTTTACCATGGCTTTCATTTCAGTCTGTGCTGCCAGATGAAGAATGCAATAAGCCTGATTAAATTTCCATGATTTATATATCTGCAGCACATTGAGTCCATAATTAAGACAATGGGGGACAGAAGCCCCAGCTGTGATATACAAACAGAGACCTTCATATGTCAGACAAGAGAGGGATGTGTGAGAGAATACAAGTTAAAACTGATACAGTATTGATCAGTGTACTGGGTGGTAGCTTGTGTATATTAGTATCTTCTTACATCTTTTGGAGCCACATTAGAAGAAAAGAGGATTAAGGTGGGTTCTCCAGTAACTTAAATTTGATTACTGAATTACAGAGAGATGTTAAACAAGAGTCTGTTGGGAGAAAGCTGATTGAAATACAGGTGCCTGTGATGGAGCCTGGTATCATGAATCTGGAAAAAGAATGGGGATCTGGTAAGGCCCTGCGGTACCTCAATGGAAAACTGGAGGAGGAATGAGGAAGATCTGCTTGCTGGCCTGGTTAGGGGAGAGGAAGGAGGAAATGACCAAGCCAGGTAAGTGAGGGCAGGATTGCATGATGAACAAGAGAGTTAATTGTGTTGAATGCAGCTAATGGATCACAGAGGATGGAGAAATAGCAATACTCAGTTTTGTCTGAACACTGTTCTGGAGAGAATAATTTGAAAGGCATGAGAGCAGGAAGCTCATCTACACGTAACAGATGTGTACGAGATTGCAAGTAAAATATATGAATATCTATA